GGAAGAGTGGGCGACGGCGCGACGGCGCATGCGCGCGCGTCAGCTGTCGAATGTTCGAGAAGCGGTGCGGACGGCGTGGACGGCGCGGACGGCGCACTACAAGGCGCGAGTATAAGATGCTTCCGCATCTAAAAATGAATCACTGTGAGAGTAACTAACATCTTCATTTCCCCTCAAAGTGGGGCTTCGCGTCAGTCAGGCTTGCCCCCGAACACGTTTCCACGGCTTAAGCCTGTTTCACATGCGAGCGATTTTGCTCCAAGAGCGGAGCGGCAGCTGCCGCACGAGGCCAAAACAGGTTTTTACCGTGGCGACTAGACGCCCTTGTGAAATTCGCCAGAGTTGGAAAAATTCGCTAGCGGCACAAGCGGCAGAGCGACCAGTGACGTCGTTTGACACGTGATGACGGGGGTGGAGTCGAGAAGTTGACGCGCGCACTGCGAGGAACTGGTTCCACAGAACAACTCGGTCCGACTGAGTAGCAGACGACATCCGTCCTCTCCCCGGCTCACAAATGTTTCGCACTGCTTTCAACAAGTCGCTGATAAAACTGTTGAAACGATCTCTTCTTTGGGACGTCAAGATGGAGGATTTCCACAAAAACCATAAGAAGAGCATTATTTGGGAAGAAATTGCCGAAGTCGCATACTTCCATAAAGTAAACGTCGCAGCTTGAACTGGCCATGTTCACTGGTGAAGTCGAAGTGCAGCTGTTTTCCTTTCGTTGCTCTCGACGATGCTTTAGCCGTAGTGACAATCGCGTGCGGTGTCTTTTTTTTTTATTTCAATAACATTATTACTACTTTCTTTTCTCTGTTTTTGAGTTTTCAGCGAAAGTTATTCCCACGTAGAGGAGCCGCATGGCACGCCGTACTTCTATGTGGCAGCAATTGTTGCTGGTTTAACAAATGATGACATGTGGTGTCGCGGTGCCTAGATGAAAGGCTTCACACGAACGAGAGAGCAAGGACGGCTTCTACGGTAGTTGACTTGAGAAGTAGCATTCCACACAGGTCACTGAAAAGGAATTGCGTGATGTGACTCAACAAAGAAGGGGCGCGAAGCTTCTTGTCATGGTTCGGGGAAATAAGGTACGAATCAGGGGTCTTTATTTTTGTTCTCCCCTTCAACAACACCTCGATTTCTCACTAATACACTGGCTGATTTGTCTGCGTCCTCTGCGACACTTTTTTCGCAATGACCAATTGCACCACAGAGCGCTCAAGTTTGCAGGCTGTCGACAGGTCCTGCCACACTGGTCAGCTGCTCTCCGTGACATTCAGTGCAGGAATGGGCGGCTGGCTAGGTTAAAATAGGTGTTCGGTCGCGAGCACAACATACACTGCGTAGATAACGAAGAACAGGTGTTGATTTCAGGCACCAGAGCAGCAACACATGCCTAGAAACATGCATTTAAATTACACGGTCGAATGCTACCAATTGAATGTCACTATGTCCCGACGGCAAAGGTGTGTTGTGTGAAATGATGTGATACTTAGGGTTTCCTACTCACAACCGCAGCATTTATGGACGCTAAAGCAACAATTGCTGCGTAGTCCCTTACCTGCGTCGCACACAAGTGTATATACAGCAGTAAAAGAACCGGGACAACGAGCGTATCACGTATGTTATGCTATCTGCCGTTGATGAAACTCTTCATCCTGGAGTTCTTTATTGAACTATTGAAAAATCTAAGAGGCTTACTCTTTAGGGTGAAAGCATACGAATTCAAGCGCCAGAAGAGATGTAGACCATTCAGAAAACCTCAATGAAGGATGTGTGCGCATGAGCCAAAGGGTGGTCACAAACACTGCAGTAGCTTACTACTTAGAGTTTTTATAAAAACTCTTATATTGACTCAAGCGAACAGGTACAAAAATTTAGGTATAAATTTTGCGAGTTGTGTATACTGGGCTGAGAGAAACCTCGTCCAGTGTCCCAATGTTAAATCGCTGAATCCAAAAGCAATGAATCGGAGAAACATGGGAAGTGTGGCGCCAAACGCGCTCGCAGTTCTTAAGCATTCACCTAGTTGGAACAGCTGTATAATAAAACCATACAAGCAAACTCTTTTTTTTTTGCTTCTCTATGGTAAGTTATACTAGTTATATGAGCGCGCAACAAGATTCATACGTGAAAAAGCTAGGACAAAACAAAAAGCAACTGCAAACGTTGCTTATTTGTTGTAAGATACATGTTAAAACTAGTTCAATCAGTGTACAGACGCGTAAAAGTCGAGCGGCTATTGATGATGAACCTCGTAGCACAGGGGCGCCAAATGAAGGACACTTGGAGGAGAGCACGGCTTTCAGATACCACTGAAAACAGCGGTTGACCGGCGCCTTCCGCGGACAACACTGCCCGCTAGAGCGGTGGGCGTCGCGCAACAGCAGCGGCGCATGTGAAACGAACGCGCGTCCGCGCGTCCTCCAGCCGCTCATCGCCGCGACCGCCGCCGCTCGTTCGCTCGCATGTGAAACAGGCTTTAGCATGACTTTGCAGCAGAGAAACCACCTTTACAAAGTTACATGCGGATTAATATAAACCTATTTGTTCGTTTCGAATACTTTGACATTTCCAATAATTTAAATTCAATTTGAAGTGAATTAAAACACTGTGTTATTCATTCGAATATTCGAAGTATTCAAATAATCGCACAGGCCTACTATTTAAAATGAAGATGGGAGCCGACAGATGGAAACACCTAGTGAGAAAATCAGGGTGAACAGTAGAAGTGCCCCAGACAGGCTGGCCGACGTTTTGATAGGAGGACCTATCTTTGTCAAAGGCTTATTCTCATTGTTAGCGTGTTAGTTTTAGGAGGGTTAGTGGTGACGTCATCTCCTAGTGGTGGCGCGTGTCCCTGTTGGTAATCGCCATCTGGAAAGAAAAATCTATAAAGCAGAGGAGTGCTGTCCTCGATTCATTTCAAGTTAGGTTGCAGTGATTCAAAATGTTCTCGGAGGATGGGGCGGGAGGGGGGAGAAAAACAACAAAAAATACAAATTACAAGCCTGTGCTACAAAGCGGTGACAGCTACACACACGAAAAAAAGAAACATATTACGCAAAACAAAACAAAAAAGCAGTGTTGGTTTCGTTTTCACATAAATATCGGTCCTTTTTTATTGTAGCAATCGATTTTGATGATTTATCTCGGAAAGCAGGCAAGTTTATAGCTCGAGACTACTGCGCACGTTGACGTATCTATGAAAAGCGGTTCTTGCCTCCCCCTTTCCTTGACTGGTAGAGGTAGTGTCATTAAAACCTCTCATAACCGTAGTATTTGTAAGCAAAAAAAAGCTGCCGTGCCCATAAAGGAAACGCTAATACCGATCCCCAATAGCAACTCAATGGCAGCACAGCTCTGCTATAAAGTTTTACTGAAAGTATGTATGCCCGTGTTGTCACCGACTCTCCCTTTTCTCATGAAAAGTTAAGTTAAACATCATTTGCACATCTATTCTTGCACAAAGCTCAATCTTTTATGTGACACGTCTGGTGGGCGGTCAAGTCGCTGTATTGTTCTAGAATTTTTCTTCATTAAAGAGGAACTCTGGTGCATTTTCGTCCATACTGAGATAATGCTGTTTTCAAATAGTATCGACAGTCCTGCAAAAGCCAGGGTCGTTCAATTGATGCACTCGCCAATTATTTTAATTAAGCAATAAACAGCGAGCCAAGACAGAAACAGGGAGCAGCTCCGTCATCCATGGTGGGTATCGAAGAGTTGCTTGTTGGGAAAAAAACTACAAAAGCCACAAAACGTCGAAATCGGGAAACGCAGAGGAGAGACGTCTCTGCTGTTCTGCTTTTTCTGATTTCAACGTTTCGTGGCTTGTGTAGCTCACTGAATGGTGGGTATCAAATAGCGTCACGAGAATGCGTTGCCGATGATGTTTTAAAAAACTAAATGACTTACGGTTGCACAATTTGGCACGTGTCACCACGGTACCGACGAGAATACATGTTCAAAGTTTCATTGAAATCGGTGGTTATCAAAAAAAAAAATAAAAAAACGCCGGAGTTCCCCTTTAAAGACAGAATCAGCGATTAACAGGAAAGGCAAAAGGCTCTTCCAAATGAAGAAGGGCGAGGGTGAAAGCAATTTGTAGGGGTTATCTGCATTCGCAAGGATCAGCGAAACCCTCTCCTCGAAAATATGCCACAATCGAGGCTAGTGTACAACCATAGCCTCCTAGATTTCCCTGGCCTGCCGGATTATCGGCAGTCACTAGGAAAGCGGCCGTCGTCGGAACTATGGTGGCGGCGCCACCACCTAAGTAGGGGTGCCTTCAAATAAGGTTTTACGTTTTTGGAACTTATATGCAACAGAAATAACGTAAAAAGTTTTAAAAAGGCGTAAACGTAATTATACTTACCCCACGTAAGTGGCGTCGTCATTCAGCAGGCAACTCTTTTGATACAAGGCATTCTCTGAAATTAGTAGCAAACGCCAAAATTGCCGATCTCAAAGGTTGTGTACAAAGACCCTTACCTCTACGTAGGCAGCGCCGCCATAGATGACGGGCGTTTCGCGCTCATCCGGCAGGCAAGGGAAACCTAGGAGGCTATGGTACAACATTGCAGCGCGCTCGGCTTACACTGAGCGTGATACTACAGCTCACGAACGTTTAACCTCCTGTGTTCAGCGACAGAGCCAGCGGTAAATCACGCCTGCACTGATAGAACGTGTCGTCTGCCAGCGCCCGCGGAACGATGCCGATGCACCTCGGTCGTCTCCACGGAGGCGCGCACTGGCGTTGTGGCCAGCAGCCAACCTCACGCGTGATGCCTAGATCAACGTAGAGCACCGCTCGAGTGTACAAGAAGCACCACCGGTGCCGCTAGCCGAAGTTGCATCGACGTTGTTTACCTGTAAAAAAATCGCGACGCAGTGGCAGTGCTGGCATATTGTCTATTATAGGGTAGGTTAACGGATGAGCTTTGCTTAACAAGAAGGCTACGTCCACGAAGCCACTGTAATGGCGAGACGCCACAGAGATGACCAACGTGTACTTTATTTACAGCACGAGGCATGGTGGTTCATATTAACGACACTCGGTGTGGATGCATTCGTTACAGCGCCAATCTGACGGACAAACAGCACACGACCTGCATCACGCACATAAAGACCAATTTTGAGGTCGCACAAAAATTTTGCATTTTCGTTTGCGCAACAACACTCCCTACGGCTGGAAACCTCGTTCGCACCAGCGGTTACTTGAAGCACTTTTTAAAAAGCTTCCGTTGGCAGTCTCGGTTTTACGGAGCATATATAGTGACATTCAAGGCGGCTCGTATGTAAACACAGTTGGCCAAGAGACCCAGCTGGCCGTCGCCTTCCTCGTAAACGAAAACTACGTCGCGAGTCTACATAGACGCATATTCGTGACGTTGGTGGTGATTGTTCGTATACATACAAGTCAAGCTGATGTCATCGAAGGCACATGAGACAGCATCGTCAGAGTCGTGCTGAACGGTTTAGCAACTCGCCAGGCAGACAGACATGTGCTTCTCAAGGGCTACGCCGGAAATAGTTTTTGGAGCATTCTCCGAGAAAATGTGCTACAGCTTTGCAACAGGTGTGCCCTGCGGGGAAGAGGCCATTCTTCCCATTCCTTCCACGGGATTCTTGGGCCATCACATATCTGAAAAGGAAAAAAAAACGCACTTCCGTCAGCTGCACGACACTCGATTCTTTCAATCAGAAGCGCGACTTCATAGGGCATTCTTTACCGGCATCTTAATTAACATCATTTTTTAAGCTGCAGTTTATCTTAAGCTCACCGTAATTGTGCGCATGACAACTCTCACAGAATGTTGCCGTATTTCTCAACGGTCCGCCTTAATGGCTCTAAGTGACAAAATGCACAAATTCAGATGGTGGCTTGAACAGATGAAAAAGAAGAAAGAACCAAACTGCCTGTCTCTGGAGACAAACATTAGACAAGTAGCTGAATAGACTAATATTCAAACAGTAGCCAAAGGCCTGCAACTAGTCCTGGTGTAAACGTGCCTGTTTCCAGCGTCCAGAATCTATAATCTCACAGGCACGTTTCATAGGTCATACGAGAGCTGCGCATGGCCAAAAAGGCGTCGAACTTCAAGGGGTACAATACTTTTCTGCAAACGAAATTGAACGAACCCACAGTGTATTTTGAGGAGGCCACATAGGGTGGGCTTGGCTCAAAAGAAACAGGAAAGGGCTCACGGTAGAAGAAATGTATCAGACGTTGTGCGAGTTTATGCGTAGCTCAAAGGAGCAGTGACACCACATTTCAAATTCGAGGTGCGGCGTTCATTTAATTGCTTGGTTCGCACTAGCTGTTTAGCGAAGTTTGAATTGCGTCCGTTACGTAGAAATTGGATGAAGTTGTTCTATTTCGAGCGCAAAAAGCGTCTAAGGCTCATCGGCGCATTCCCGGCCTTGAGACATCGACCGTATTTGGACGTGTTCAGCAAACTTCTAGGCCACGCCTCAGGAACCAGTGTCAGGAACCGAGTGAGCGAGCAGCGTCGAGAGTGTTGTCATCGCAATGTCTCCATGTGGTGGCGACGCCTGGCTGCCTAGCGACGGCTTCACTTGCTTTGCTTAGCTTGGTTCGCGCAGCACGTTCATGTGAATCCAACGTTTTCGTTGTCCCGCTTCGGTTGATTTGTCGTGGAGTCGTCATCGTGAATGTGATAATTTGAAGCTACGGTCATCGCGAACAAGTAACACTCTGTAAAGGGCTCGGGGTTCGGCGGCTTTTTTTAGGGTAGCTGGCTCCAGAGAGTTTCCTAGTATACACTAGAGGGAACTCTGGCGCTAGTGTCTATGGAAGCTGCAACGCACGGCGCTTCAGCAAGCATGGGAATGATGGGTAGTACACACATTTATCTAAACTTCGTACTTCTGGCCTGATTTTGGCTCCGTGTGTGTTCGTGTGGCTTGGAGCTGTTTTCCCACGAAACAAAAATCAGCAAATGTTCAGCGGTTGCGCTTCACCACCCTATTCTTTTAGACTTACCCTTCCAAATTTGGCCACGACGATCAGAAGGGTTGAATCTTTATTTCGAAACAAAACCGAAACGCAGCAATAAACGAAGCCGCAAGTACGATTCGCCGCCCGCAGGTACAAAGACAAGGCAAATGTGTGTACCACCCATCATCCCCATGGTCACTGAACAATCGCAGTGCCAGAGTCTCCTCTAGTTAATTTTAGGAAACTCTATGGCTGGCTCCCCGCCATCGCCCACAGGCGTGATGTTCGCCAGTGAGGAGACGCGTTGTTAGTGACAGAACGAAGGTTTATTTACATAATGGAAGGGAACTAGAACTTTATAGTGGTTCAGCAATTATGTACAAACGTCTTCAGCTTTTATAGCCCGTCTTGTCCTACATACGGCCGTCCAAAGAAGGTGGTGACCACTGCTTCCGCCAATCAGGCGAAGTCTAAGTGGTGCACCCACCTGAACAGGTGCAAAAATTGTACCGCTCCCCTGATGAGGAACACGGGCGAGAATGTCGGATGGGGAACACGAGCACACCACACGATTACGCACCCGGCCAACGCCTTGAAAACATCGCAGGGCGAGGTGGTAGAGTCTAAGGGCACGCAGAGGTCCATGGCTGCGTTCAGGTACAGTGTTCCAGAACATTCTATAACGCAGATCTCCAGGTGCTCGATTCCTGAGAATCGCTACTGCGACTCCACGCCACGCTTTCGAACCGTCGATGCTTTGTCACGACTCAGTATGGGCGACAATGGCTGTGTGGAGAGGTTGTTGTTGTTGGTGATGGTGATGATGATATGTGGGGTCCCAAAACCACCATATGATTATGAGAGACGCCGTAGTGGGTGGCTCCGGAAATTTCGACCACCTGTGGTTCTTTAACGTGCAACCAAATCTGAGCACATGGGCCTACAGAATTTCCGCCTCCATAGGAAATGCAGCCGCCGAAGCCGGGATTCGATCCCGTGACCTGCGGGTCAGCAGCCGAGTACTTTGGCCACTAGACCACCGCGGCGACTCCATGAGAACCGTGACGCCGTCTCACGCTGTTAAACCCCGCACCCCGAAGGGTTGTTCGCGAATTTTCCGTCGAATTCATTGTAACCCGGCCCACAGCAAACTGCCTGGCCCTCCTACAGGACAGCGTAGTGCTTCCGACCCGGCACCGATATCGGCGTGAAAGCATTGTTGCAGCCCGGCTCACGCACAATAGTGTCTCCTAAGACGAAGGCCAAACGTAGCAACGCACACAGCGTTCGTATGTCTTACCAGCCAGCGTGGCCGTGTGTCTGCAGCTGCCTAGTCGGTGCTCAGTCGGGCGTCCATTTCAGAATCACGACACAGAAGAGGTTCAAACCGAAAATTATTCGCCACGCCACGAATTAGCACGATTCCATATTCTTTGGTGTTTTCATCATCGCTTGTGGACAGTGATGACGGCGGCGAGGACAATTGGGATGGCGAAGATATACGTGTGCGCCGAGCAGACGAAATGTCAACTGAAGATCGCGTAACCATTTTGTGTGACCATGTGATCAGATGGGCGGGACCGCAGGGTGTGACCGCTTGGCAGCGTTGGCAGCGCTAAAAATTGGCGGGCTTTACAGCTGTTTTGAATTGGGTTCGATACGGGTCATACTCATCGATATTACATATAAATATTAATTTGTTCCGCATTATTAGTAAGGAATAGTTACTATGGAATTGATAACTACGCGTTGGCGCAAAAAACGCGACATGTGTGAAGTTACTGTCACTGCTCCTTCAAGAAAATATTTGGCGCAACTGAAAACGAGGATGAAAGGACAACAGAATACATGATGGGGCTTTGGTATTTGTGTGTTTGTTTCGTTGCGCGTTAAAGAACCTCAGGCAGTCGAAATTTCAGGAGCCCTTCACTACGGCGTCTCTCTTAATTACATGGTGTTTGTGGGACGCTGAACGGCAACAATTATTATCCTCACATTGACAAGTGGAATCCAAAGAGACGTCAAAAGCAAATATAACGGCTACTTGGGCGAGATGGCAATACTTCATATTTCAGTTTAACAGCACACAACAAAAACTGAGAGCGCGTGTTGCGTGCGTACTTTCTTACCCGTCTGTTCGTTTTTTTATTATTGGCTGTTAAAGTGAAATATGAGCAAATGTGTCCACTACATCAACGCGCTGCGCTTGACGACAAGAGCGGGAACAGGCCTCGCAAAGCGCGCGGCTCGCTTTCGCCCAGTATATTCCATAGTGGCCCGGATAATTGGCTTTCACCCTTATGCAGAAATGTGCGCGACCAGGCGACCATACTTGGCTTAAACTTAGTGCGTGTTCTCTAAGTCCGTCATTGATGCGTCCTTCAGACTGGCCGATGTACATTTTCCCCACAAGACAAACGAATACAACTCCAACAGAACGAAAGAGTTGGAATGTCTGGTGATGCGTCCTCGTTTGCGTGTTTGTCACCTTCTTGGCCCCGCGCGACAGCGTGTGCACGTACAACATGGCCTCCCAGTCAAGCCTTTCCTGATCCTTGTTTGACTCTTTGCAAGAACCACTCGGCGATTGCTGCAATGACGTTCGAAGGGTAGCTTGTCGCCAAAAAGGCGGGTCACTTGCCAATAAAAAGAATTCCTGAATGGGCAGGACCTTCCGAGAGGAGATTAAATGCACTGAACAACAATCCACTTCGTAATGAGCTTTGAATGAGCTTATTCAACAGTAAATAGCTCTCCTTTTTTTGGTGTGGGGAAAGTATGCCATCAAAGATGATGTGCACGAAATCGCAGTTTTAAGTCTAAAAATTTATCTCATCTAACTGAACTGGAACTCATTGCAGTTGGACTCTCGGCGTAAGCATAAGTCCTTGTCTTGAACGATCGAATTCCCGACACATTATTAGGCAAATAGAAATTGGTCTGTCTGGTTAAAAGTATTAAATGTCGCCAAAATATCAAAACACCTTTAAAATCCGCCTCCCAATAAAATCAGCATGCAAGGTACAGTCAAAATATTATTTGTTACTGTTATTTTCCACGTAACAATATTGTTACAACTGTTACAGCGAGCTGTAATAAAATGGTTTTATTTACAGGAGGTGAACGATGGTCGTTTGCGGCAGCACACTGCGATCGTGCCAAGACTCTTCGTCTTCCTCTGCTTTTCCTCTCTACCCTTTTCTAGTCTGTTACATTCCCCCGCAAGCAGACGAAGCCCGTAGGGCGAGTTATGATGCGCAAGGAGGGTGGAAAGGTTTCAGGCGAGCCACGTGAGTGAGCTGCGTTCTGGTCGATCGTCGACCATTGGACAAAAGACGAGCTATTACGTAAGTGAGCTGGCTTAGACGCTCCAAAACTACAAATGGGCCTGAATATCGTGACAGAAGCTTTTGACACAATCCACGCTTGCGTTGCGGTGTCCAAAGTAACACCAAGTGACCTTTTTCGAATAAAACCGGTTCGTGACGGTAGTCGTATCGTTCCTTCAAACGACGTTAATAGGCCAGCGTCCGAAGATGAGCGATTCGACGGGCTTCTTCCGCGAGGCACAGGGTGTTTGATACAGAGTCGTCATTGTGTATAATGAAGGGTAAGAAAGTGTCTAGAGGGCTTTGTGGCAACCTGGCGTACAACAGATAAAATGAGCTCAAGTTCGTTGTTTC